ACCGGAAGCGCTGGGCGCCGCCATCTTGTTTTGATGAAAAAGTGCTTCCGGTGAGCTTTCTACCCGGAAAAGCTCACCGGAAGCACTTTTTCATCAAAACAAGATGGCGGCGCCCAGCAAGCCAGCGGCCCGGTAGGATTTGTTCCACGGACCGGTACCGGTCCGTGGACCGGTGGTTGGGGACCCCTGCCCTACACCATTTCTGACAGATGTCAGTCTAGTCTCTTCTTGGAAGTTTCCAGGGATGAAGCTCCCACAACTTCCGAAGGCAACTTCTGTTCCATTGGTTGATTGCTTTCACTGTCAGAAAACTTCTCCGAATTTCTAGCTTAAATCTCTCCTTGACCAGTTTCCATCCATTGTTCTATCCTGGCTAAAGCAGGTGACTGTGGCAGGAATTGTGTCAGAAGAAAGAGGGAAAACATTGAAAGTGGAACAGTCGAGGATCATTTTAAGCTCAGCCCAAAGTAGGAGTAGTTCTTAACTCCTGATCATAACTGGGTCTGGAATTGATGTCACTAAGCAGTATGGTGATTAGGTGAATTGTGCCTAATTTTATATACTTTTTGCTGCAGTCATTAAGTGAATCTGGCTCTGCTCATCAGAATCCTCACGGGAAGGTTGCAAATGGGGATCATGTGACCCAAGGATGCTGCATCTCTCATGTTGCATAGATTAACACTTGTAATTAAAGAGAGAGAACAAACTGAATATTATAAGGTATGGGAACTATCCTATCAATGGTTAGAGAAAAAAAATATGCCAGCTAGATATAATTAATGGATTAGTTAAGAAGGACTGTCAGGGGTGGGATCCAACCAGCATAACAACCAGTTCGGTAAGTGTGAGCATGCGCATCAAATGCGTGCAGCATGCATGTGCATGCTGCCAGGTCCGGCAAGCATTTACCTTCTCCAGATGACGAGCGGCACTCAGCTGTGCCGCGCAAAGCAGCTGAGGAGGAAAATGCATCCACTAAAGGACAGCCTAGAGGCCGGGCGGGCGGGAGAGCCAAACAGCACACCAAAACCTCATCCCAGCGAACTAGTTCAGTGTGAGCTGCTCTTCGGAGCTACCGGTTCTATAGAACCGGACCAAACCAGTAGGATCCCACCCATGAGGACAATAGATATTTTTCATTGATAGAAATAAATAAGCTAAGATGAAAGATAAAGAGACAGTGATATTAAGTACAATAAGTACAATAAGATAAGTCTAGAGAATAATACTATGTAATGAATATGGCAACGCTGTGTTTTAACTGTCTCTCTTATGAGGGGGATCATGGCCGCTTTCTCTCTCGTAAGCCAAGTTGTTGCCTTTTCCGTTCTTCCCTGCATGTCCTAGGATGAAGAGGGGATGGTCCTGGTTCTTCCTCTGACTGCCCAGCTGGCCTCTGCCCTTCCCCAGCCTCCTCCACAACCTCTGGAGCCACAACTCCACTCCCTGTCGGCTGTTCTTCCTCTCCCTCAGAGTCTGACCCTAACAAGGGCATGACAACAAAGTTGATTCCTGGGACATGTCCATGCTATGCTTGGGCTGGTCAGGAAGACCCCAGTGTTGCATGGTCAGCAGTTCCCACATCAGCATGCCTTACTCAAACGAAAATCAAACAAGAATGCCTGTTACTTCCATGCACTCAGCACTGATTTTACACAGTCCCTCCTAATGCTGGTGCTCAAGTTCTTTTAAAGAATTCTTTATTTGCCAAGTATGATTGGATACACAAGGAATTTATCTTCGGTGCATAAGCTCTCAGTGTACATAAAAATACATTCATGAAGACACAACACTTAGTGATAGTCATAGGATACTAAATAAGCAATCAAAATCATACTAGGCAACTAAATAAAACAATATCAATCATAAAGTTACAAGCAACAAGGTTATAATTATAAGTGGAAGGAGATAGGTAATAGGAAGGATGAGAAGAATAATAGTAATACAGTCTTAGTAAATAGTTTGACCGTGTTGTGGGAATTAGTTGTTTAGCTGAGTGATGGCATGTGGGGAAAAACCTGTCCTTGTGTCTAGTTGTTCAGGTGTGCCTTGCTCTATAACGTTGTTTTGAGGATAGAAGTTGAAAGTATTTATGTTCAGGATGGGAGGGGTCTGTAGATATTTAAGACTCTGCTAGAGATAACCAAGCAGAAATGGAAGCACAAAATCTATTAAAAAGCATGTTCTTGTGCAACATTGTGCACCAATTAAAACCACATTAAGAGCAGAAGCCAGTCAAGGTGGAAAATGTCAGCCTTCTCACCTTATCAATACTTGTTTGCCTGCATGGGAAAGAAAAAGTAAATCCAAGGGGAAGCCGGGCACCTTTTATTCCCATGTATTCCAAAAAGTCCGCAATGCATTGGACAATGTGATCAAATAACTGAAAGGGGGGAAAAAAGAATAATTAAAGGCATTTAATACCAGTGTTTTAAATACATGTGGATCAGCAAGGAGAATTGTTCAGAATCTTGTTAGACTGGAATAGCGTATAAGTCCCAGGAATAAATAGTTAAGAAGGAACTTTTACCTCCTCTCCTGTTCCTTGCATAATTTCCAAAGGAATTGCGAATATTTTATTGTATATCCGAACCGATTTGTTTCTTCCACTTCTGATTTTGACAAGCAAAACTCTGAAATTTGTTCCTCCAAGATCAAGAGCTAAGTATTTTCCCTTTTCTGCAAAAGAAAAATCAGTATTTATTAAAATCCTTCTCAATTGCTTAGAATCAGTGGTAGGATTCAAATTTTTTTACTACCAGTTCTGTGGGCGTGGCTTGGTGGGTGTGGCATCACTTGGTGGGCATGGCAGGGGAACAATTCTGTAAAAATCTCCATTCTCTCACCACTCCTGGGGGAAGTAGTTCTCTGAACTACCGTATTTGCCGGCATATAAGACGACTGGGCGTATAAGACGAGCCCCCAACATTTCCACTCAAAATATAGAGTTTGTTATATACTCGCCGTATAAGACGACCCCCCCCACTTGGAGGCATGCAAGTGAAAGTGACGCGCCTGCCCCCTCCCCCCCGGGGGAAAGTGAAAGGCCTCCTCCCTTAAGCAGCCCCCGCGTGTGCGCCATCGGGACTCCAAGGCTGGGGGATGGACAGCTGCCAACTCTCTCTCTCTCTCTGTGTGTGTGTGTGTGTGTGTGTGTGGTGTGGAGAGTAATTCCGGCTATCTCTGGCCTCCGCTCGGTTTTCAAGTCACCTGGCCGGTTCCCAAGTCGCAAGCGCGCGCTGGCCGGGAGACGCGGCACTGGGTGGCAGCTCGGTGCCGGGGAGGCGGATCTTTCTTTCTTAAGCGGGGAGGGGAGGAGGGGACAAGAGGAGGGACGGGACGGGACAGGGGGCGGGAGGAGGTCCCTCGCCTTCTTCCACCGCCCACCGGACCCTTTTCTTCCCAAGGGGACCCTGGAAAGCAGCTCGGGAGCCGGGTGGCCCTGCCCAGTGGGGTCCCATCAGGAACTTCCCGAGGACACACACACCCCGCCCCAAGCACAGCCCTCCCGGTCTTTCAAAGAGGGAGGGAGAAGCGGGAGGAGCAAATTGCCGGCCCCGCCCCACTGCCCAGAAGGAGGGGCACCATAGTCCACCCCCACCACCTTCTCCCCCCCACTCCCCGGGCCATTACGCGGCTCGGGGCTGGCTGGGCGAAGCGGCCCCGCCAGAGACCCTCCTGCTCCACCCCCACCCCACCTCCAGATTGGCCTCCGCAAGCGCCCCGAGCCGGGCGGAGGGTGGGTGGGTGGGGGGGAGGAGGAGGAAGAGAGACTCCGGCTGGGCTTGAAGGGACTTCGCAAGTTGCGGAGCTCCGCCCCCGTCGCTCTTGCACCGAGTGACAACAACGTATTTGCCGGCGTATAAGACAACCCCCCCACTTGCAGGCATGTTTTTCAGGGCAAAAAAGTCATCTTATACACCGGCAAATACAGTACTCAAAAATTTTGCTACTGGTTGTCCAGAACTGGTCAGAACCTGCTGAATACCACCTCTGCTTAGAATGTTCCTGGTCCACCTTACACACTACAAAACATCTCAAAAATGGCCTTTTGTCTGTCTAAGGTCAGAGGTCTCCAAACTTGGCAACTTTAAGACTTGTGGACTTCAACTCCCAGAATTCAGGGAGTTGAAGTCCACAAGTCTTAAAGTTGCCCAGTTTGGCGACCCCTAATTTAAGCAGACATACTGAATTCTAGGTAAGTTTGCTCTCAAGTAGTTATATTCAGATATAGGTAGTTCATATTGACATATAGAGATGATAGTCCTTCGCCTTACAACTACAATTAAGCTGAACATTTTCGTTGCCAAGCAGCACAGTTGTTACGTAAATTTTGCCCAATTCTGCAAACTTTCTTGCCTCAGTTATTAAGTGAATGACTTCAGCTGCTAAAATAGTCATACAATTGTTAAGTGAATCCTGCTTCCCCATTGACTTTTCTTTTCAGGAGGTTTCAAAGGGATCACATGACCCCAGGATACTGCAATTGTACATGCCAGTTGCCAAGTATCTAGATTTTGATCAAGTGATCATGGCGATGCTGCAACGATGAAATGTGTAAAAGTTGCTTTTTTCAGTGCCATTGTAACTTTGAATGGTCACTAAATGAATGGTTGTAAGTCGAGGTCTACCTGTAGTTCTGAGTACGCAGTTGACCAATCCTTGACCATTCTCCAGATCTCTTCAGAAAGCTAAAGTTTAGGGTACATTAGAAACACCTAAACTTTCTATGCATGTTTAATAGTGTTTTAGCACATCTAGACAAAATCTACTTCATCTTTTTTATGCAAAATACTGAGTCAATCTCCATTTATTATTTATATCCAGGGGGAAATGCACTGAAACCAAAAATGCATTATTTTTTTCTTCAAAAGCAATCAAACTTGCATCAGCAGAAAGATTGGCAGAAATTTAGACTCAAGGCATTTTGAGAATGCTATATATGTACAATCCACCTTCCCTAAAACTGTTAGAGCAGAGAAATACAGATATTATACTAAGTCATGCCCCTGTGTATCGGATTTTTCATAACTTCTATCCTCCCCCTGACATTTTTAAACACCCATCCCAACCTATAGAATTAAGGAGAAATTTCCTGACAGTTAGAACAATTAATCACTGGAAAGACTCCCCTCTAAGAAGTTGTGAATGCTCCAGCACTGCACGTTTTTAAGAAGAGTTTGGACACCCACTTGTCTGAAGTGGTGTAGGGTTTCCTGCATAAGCAGTAGGTTTGACTAGAAGATCTCCAAGGTCCCTTCCAACTCTGCTATTCTATTCTATTCTATTCTATTCTATTCTATTCTGTTCTGTTCTGTTCTGTTCTGTTCTGTTCTGTTCTACCCGATCCTATTCTATTCTATTCCTATTCTGTTCTGTTCTATTCTATTCTATTCCTATTCTATTCTATTTTATCCTATCCTATCCTATTCCTATCCTATTCCTATCCTATTCCTATCCTATTCCTATCCTATTCCTATCCTATTCTATTCCTATTCTATTTTATCCTATCCTATACCTATACCTATACCTATACCTATACCTATACCTATACCTATACCTATTCCTATTCCTATTCCTATTCCGTTCCGTTCCGTTCCGTTCCGTTCCGTTCCATTCCATTCCATTCCATTCCATTCTATTCTATTCTATTCTATTCTATTCTATTCTATTCTATTCTATTC